GAGCACCAAGCAAGTGGTTTTGGTTGCTTCTAAGGGGACACCAAGAGGGCCACCATTATTTTGCAGGCTCTGTTCTAAGACAACGCCACACGCTTTGACATCGCTTCTGGCAATCCGCCCACCCACCCATCCTACACTTGACCCTAAACCCAATCACATGCCTCACCTGACAGCTTAAAGCTAAGACCAAGCCTCAACTAAAACACAAAACCCAAGCAACCCTAACCCAAATACAACCCGCAACCCATCTACGCCTACTCTTAACCCACCTAAAGTCATTCTAAGTTGACACTCAGCCCGCACCCACGCAACACCCTTTCCACACCCAACCTTGCAACAAACCGAATCCCCTGTAAACCATCACAAGCCACTCGACACCAGGCCAGAAATGCAGTGTCTCCATCCTGAACGAACGCCAGTGCAACCTTAGCAAAGCCATAGACCCACCCAAAACCCCAAGCCCACAGACGCAAAACAATCCCAAGTATCTTCTTGCGATGGAGAACTCTACCTAGACAAACCGAACAACCAATCCAAACCCACAATGAAGCCACCCTGGCACAAATACAGCATATTTGCTCTCCAGGTGCAGATGCACGAGCGCACAAATGACCCAACAAACAAACAGACACACAGCCACACAACCGCACAAACACACAAACACACAAACACACCAGCACACCAACACACCAAAACACACACACACACAGACAAATCAACACACACAAAAACACCCACGCAAACACACAAGCAAGCAAGCAAACAAACAAGCAAGCAAGCAAGCAAGAAAGCAAGCAAGCCAGCCAGCCAGCCAGCGAGCAAGCAAGCAAGCGAGCACGCACGCAAGCAAGCAAGCCAGCAAACCAACGAACAAACGAACGAACAAACAACATAACAAGATCACAAGTCAATCCCCGCTGATTTGCATAGCCTAAGGTCAAAAGGAAGCCCGCCGCCGGCTTTCTCCATCACTGGGAACCCATCGCCTTTTTTTGGGGCTAGGTGGTGTCAGTTCCGCGTTTGGTTTGGGCCTCTCCAGTTTCGCCGCATGGAAGGCGCGAGCGATGAATAGCTTGGGAGATGTGCTGTGACTAGGGGGCCCCCTTGGGATGTGAGGGACACCAAAGGAAAGCTGTTGTCAGATGTCTTCGCCTCATAGGCCTTATCAGCAACCCTCTATTCGGTTGAAACTTGTGACTGGGGAAGGTTCGAATGCCTGGTTTTCGGTTGCAACATTTATGAGACGACTTGTGAGACGACCACCCCAAACTGCCACGGGTCCTAGTCCGGCCGGAAGCCGGCAGAGGCTCAGATGCCGACCTCATCCAGCACGTGGCTCCGGCGAGTTTTTTCGACCGCGCCCTTGTGATCCCCGGTGAGTTTAGTGTTTCTCCCACATGGTGCCTCTCTAGGTCCTCTCTAGGTTTTTCAGTAGTGCCCTTTATTTTTTTTGGGGGAGGGTTCCCCCACTAAAATAGACTACAGGTGTCATGGTGCTGTGGAGATCGAAGATCAAGGCTCATGCTTGAGACATCCCCAGGGCACAGTGCGCACGGTACGCATACCGTGCAGTCGTACGGCTCGTGTGCAGTGTACGAACTGACAGTGTACGGTGTGCGTGCATACGTGTACCCACAATGCATGTTCGATACCGATGTTGGCCCGACCGCGAATGTCATTATAGCTTTGTTTTCGTCTTCGCATGGTCTGTACTGTGGGCGCACAGTCGCGTTGCGGTGTGCACCTGAAAATGCTTACAACACATGTACACGCATGGTATGCGCAGAGGTGCGCGCTACGAACAATGCACTCTGCACACACTGCCTGACACAGGCCAAGTGGGTCTATTTGGATGCCAAAGCTGTCGATCCACCAAATCGGGCAAACAGGTGGAATCACCAGTTGGGGCATCAAACGTTCGTTGGACTGGGGTTTGCCCAAAGCAGGCTTCTCACTGGGTCAGCACCATGTTTTGAGTCGAATCCACAAGCCTGCACTGGCTTGGCGGGGGTTGGAATGTGAAGGATGCCAAAGGAAGTCCCCATACGGTCTGAAGAAGTTTCACAAATTTTCGGGAGTTGGCAGATCTGGTTTCTTTGTCGATGACCTTGGCCCCTGGTGTTATATTTCTTGATACATATTTGTTGACCCACTTTTTCACGTGCAGCTGCACCTAGTTGGGGATATATGGTGCAGGTTTTAGGGCAGAGGAGAGCAAAATAAGCCTAGAAGGAGCCTAGGGTTACAACTTGGTTGACTGCACAACCGATGCAAACTCTGTGTTTGCCAGTTCAGCCGGCATGGGGTGAGGAGAGATCTGCCAAGGTGATCGCAAGCGAAAAGCGAACGGGCAAAACACAGATTCTGGCCACCATGGTGAAAGATCATTTCCATGCCAAGCTTCCGTGATGAGGTTTCAGAATTCTGCCATTTTGCCGAACGCAGCAGCTTGGTCTTGCTGAGCATCGAATCTATCCGGATTTGCTCGGGTTCTGGAATCGAAGGGACCAAGCATAAGTGGGAAGCCAGAGCAGGAACAGTTGGGTCACCGCCCTTACGACAAACGAAACACTCGCAACCATCTTTTCGCCGACGACAACGCGTTGGGTGCTTGCCTGTGCAGCTTGATCGGTGTATCTGACTCTTCAAGCTCCCAGGCATCCCTCATGTTTCCTCGCGGGCTGAGGTTTCAACGAATGGTAATGTTGACCCCGGATTAATAATCCCCTCCCATAATTAGGGGGGTGTTCCCTCCAAAAGTGGTGAATCCCCACTAGAAGGGGACACCCCCCTATGAATCAGCCTGGGGTCTATTATTCTGGGGTTAACATTATGTAGCTGGATGGACCTTGGTGAATCGGCTGCTTCGCCATCGAATTTCCGGGACTCGATGCGAATCGAGCGAGCCGCGCGGGTCTGCCAGGTTAGCCTGGTGGTGACCGTGAAGGACTGAGTGGATCCGAGGCAACTCCGTCTCGGTTGGCCCGGTGGGTAACTTTTTCAAGCTCGCCTGAGAAAGCGCCGATGTTTTCAAGGAGTCTTTTGAGGCCTTTGACGGGTGGAACTTCAGCTCCAGGCCAGGAGTTGTTCTGGCCAGTTCCGAATCGATATGCAGAAGGTTTCCTTGAACGGTTTTTGAAGAGATCCTCAGAAACCAGGTGTTTACCTTGTCTTTGCCTCCTCCATTCAGCTGTTGAACATGGCTGACCTTTATCCACCTGACAGGTGGTATAGGGCCAAGTTGCCTTTTGTCACCTGCCGGCCGAATTTGCCTTTGGCTGACCCCCATTTCCCCATTCAGGTCTTTCATCTCTATCTCTCTCCCTCTCTATCTCTCTCTCTCTCTCTATCTCTCTCTGTCTCTCTCCATCTCTCGCTCTCTCCATCTCTCACTCTCTCTATCTTTCTTTCTCACTCCCTCTCTCTCTCTCTATCTCTCTCTCTCTCTCTGTCTCTCGCTCTCTCTATCTCTAACTCTCTCTCTCTCGCTGCCTCTCGCTCTCTCTCTCTCTCTCTGCCTCTCTCTCTCTCTCTCCCCTCTCCCCTCCTCCCTCCCTCCCTCCCTCCCTCCCTCGCTCTCGCTCTCGCTCTCGCTCTCGCTCTCTCTCTCTCTCTCTCTCTCTCTCTCTCTGTCTCTCTCTTTTTGTCTCTCTGTCGCTCTCTCTCTCTCACTCACTCACTCTCTCTCTCTCTCTCTTTTTGCGCCTTCTCTTTCTTTCTTTCTTTCTTTCTTTCTTTCTTTCTTTCTTTCTTTCTTTCTTTCTTTCTTTCTTTCTTTCACTCTCGCTCTGCCGCACCAGCTCGTGGCAGTCGCCATTTCGGAGGGATTTTCCCCCCATGTGCAGGACACCTGCGCACAGGCACAGGATCTTTTGGGTCACCTCGCCACGATCTTCCCGCGAGGTTGGGGGGCCTTTGGGCCTTTGGGCCTTTGGGGTGGGGGGGGGGTGGGGATGGGGACATGGCCTGTGCACAGTAGGGAAGCTGTTCTCATGCCAGAGAAAAAAAACTAAACAAAAACTGATCAGATACCGGGACACCTTTTTTTGAAGCGGTCTTGACGTAGCCGGGGATGTGGATCAAACACTTTGCATACAACTATTCCAAGTCGCTTGAAGTTGGAGGGCTCTGTGGGCAAAGGAGCACGAGTTCAACACGTTTTATTGACGCTGGGCTGGCAAATAAAAGAGTTGAACACTCAGCGCTGGTTTCTTGGAGACAGGCCGGAGTACAGCCGGAGGCCATTCTTTCTGCACAGAGCTGACTGAGCTGACACTACCCGATGGGATTGCAAGAAGGTTGGGTTGCGTGCAGTGCCAGCGATTCGGGCTTGCGTGAAGGCAATCACGGGGACCTTTCCGGATCCCGATATTTCGTGTGGTGTTGAACACCTTGGCCAAATCGGAGGTGTCTTTTGTGGCGTGATGCAGGGGAAATCTGAGGAACTGTCTGCGAGTTGACCCCTTGCCGGAATTGGGAAAGGCTGTTCAAAGACACTCCCCCATTCTTTCCTTGGGTTGTTGGGATCCTGTGTTGTGGTTCCCACAATGGGTTCGGGAAAAGGGTTGAAGCCTCTTGAAGTTGGGGAGCCAGTTTGTCAGAATGGCCAGAGCTTGATCTGGGGGGCCATTTTATCCATCCCCAAAGATCAAAACAACACGGGGGAATCTCGGAGCCCTGGTTTGGCAGATCGGTGGTGTGCCATCCATCCAACTGGCGGGGTGTCGAAGCCGCAAGCACTGCCTACAAAGCTCTCAACCCGAGAGCACCGAAGTGTTGGGTTCGATCACTCTGACGCTTTCCTTTGGACGTAACGGCCATCTTGAACCCTTCGAACATGTTTTCGCAAGTGCGGGTGCCGGCCAAGATGACGATGACCTGACTGGTGGAAGGGAGGTCGCATCCTCACAAAGTTTCTTGCACCCAACCGCCCAATTGCCGCCGCCTTGCTCAAGGGATAAAACCTTCCCTCGGATCCTCTTATCGAATCCCCCCTACATATGAGGCCTGTGGGACAGCTGCGGGCTGACTGGGAAGACACGAGTGCTTTGGGCTGAGGTTATCCCATGGATTGTCCACCCAGCTTTGCAGCAACCTGACAAAAAAGTGATTGGTGGGTCGGCTGGCATGGTTGACCATGTCCCAGTTGATCAGTGCTGGGCCCCCTCTTCCCAGCCCTGTTTTTGATTCCACCTATTTTCCCTGCTGGCAATTGGGTAACTCGGCAAGAGAGGATACTGAACATGATGTTGGAGTTTGGTTTGGGTTGCTTCGCAAAGCGTCCTTCCAAAAATGCAAATGCGTGGCTTGCTTTGGGTTTCGCTCTGAACTAGCCGGTTTTGGAAACAGTTGTGCTTTGGGCAAAGTTCAGGAGGTCATCATCCTGGAGTCATCGTGGCCGCGTTCCTGCGACTCTTTTGGAGGTGACCCATTTGTTGAACCCATGGTGTGGAAGTCTTAGGTTCCCCTTCATCATGTCAAAAAGGGCGCACACACACACACACACACACACACACACACACACACGCACACCCACACACACACACACAGCCATGGGGGGGGGAATCCACCATGCGGTGATGTACTTTCCGAAGTTTCCCAAGAAAGCACCCATCCCCTTTGGGCAGGATCCGGACAGGATGCCGTTGATGAATGGATCAGAATCTTGGTCTTTTGGGAGATGGTAGGTGCCCCCAAAACCGTGAGCCAGGTGTGTTTCACTTCTTTTGGCATGCCAGACAACCAAAGCGCTTCAAAGAGTTGAACGGGTTTTTTGGAATGAATATTGAAGATCGAGGATTTCCATGACTCGTGTTTCCAGTCTTCTTCAATCAACGGAAAGCCTCGTTTCAGACTCACTCCCTAGCATGCAGGCTCCCAGAAGGCCTCTGTAAATGGAACCAAGTCTTCCAAAGTCCGTTCGGAACTTCCATCTTAGTCTGGGCAAATCAGTTTCTGGAACCCCTTGGAATTCATTCGTCTCGTGGGTCCCCTGGGCCCTGGGAACTTCCATGTTGAAGGAAAATCGATGTGGCCATGGGTCAAAAGCCAAAGCTCGTACCCCCAGTGAACATCCGATTCAATCCAACCACTAAAATGGGTGGTGAATTCACCTACCAACCAAAATGGGATCCCATTGGTCAATCCCCACTAAAATAGGTTCTAAAATGGGTGGTGCACCGGAATCCACAAAATGGGATCCCAAAACGATTTTGACCACCACAGCCATTGGTTTCGATGCGAGGCTGGCGCTGCTTCTGCCGGCCATCTCGGCCGTCTCGGCCTTTCAGCGCACCAGGCTCGGGCCTGAAGACCGAAAGCCGCCTCCGTTCGGGGGTTGAAGGGGGCGAACGAACTCCACTCCCCAGGCAGCCGAAAAGGGGCCCGTTGGATTCAAGTCCGAAAAAAGAAGAACAAAAAACCGGGTGTTTTGTTGAAGGGGGTTCCTGGGGTATAACCACGGCAAGCTTGACCGTGGCACGAGCAGCACTTCTTGCCGTCAAGAGGCGAGCAGGTCCAAAAGAAGGATGGGCCAATGAAGGATACCGAACATCTACCCTCCTAAAAACAAACATAGAACCTGCACGGGAGTCCCCGGAAGACAATTTTCCTTTGCTGCTGCGTTTGTTCATGTTCTATGTTACAATGATTGTTTTTGCTGGGGTATAGAAGAAACCAAGGTAGCTGAGCGGCCTCTCCAGCAGATCTGTTGAGAATACGGAGCCAAACATTTAGCCCATTCCAACCCATTCACCAAGCCAACATTTGAGTGTGGCTCAAATTTTGCTTGAGTCCACGTTGGTGAATGTTTATTCGGGAGGTTTCATTGTCCAGTGGCTGGTGGACATAAGTCCCATTTTGAACCGAAGGGTCCGTGCACCGTGGCCAAGGTTCCGGTCCTTTGCGCCCTAGTTGGTGCCCATTTTTGTTATGTTTCTTTCTTACGTGGCGACTTGGCATTTTTGTTTGGTTGAAGCAGGTCGGACTTCCCGTTGCCATGGTTGCCCAACGAAAGATGGACATGGATCCTGGCTGTGCCATTCGTGTGCCCTTAAGAGCGTTTCGTGCCACTTGCGCCAGGCAAACTTCCACGGTCGTCCAGGACAATGGAGGGCGGGACATGGAGTTCCAGATTTTGGGCTCCCAACCCGTTTTCTGGGACTTATCAGCACAGAACTGTCCCAAGCAGACCTGCTCCGGGGATAAAACCAACAGACTGCACGGGGACCGCCCGAATGGCGTCATGCGACGAATTCGGCAGCTGCCAGGCAAGAAAATCGCGCGTCCAGGAGGGAAGATCAAGCCCCAATTTAGTTTGCGCTTGGTGTGCCGGAGTCGCGCGCGTGCGTTTGCACTTGCAGTGCTGGTCGATGAGTGAGGAGCAACTGGATGGCCTGATTGGAGAGCAGTTGGCAAGGAGGCCATCTGAGGCCGGGTGTTGGGTGTTGTCGCTGAATGCCAGGGTGATCTTTCCTGGCATTCTTTTTGCTGGTCCTTTTGTTGCATTCTCACAGAAACATTCTCAGTGTGGAACTAATATTGGCCATGTCACCGCCGCTCAAGAACATGCTAGTACCGTGTTTGCTGAGCAGTGGCTAACGCAAAGATTTGTTTTTCGTGTCAAGAAAGTTTGCTTACATCACTAGTTTGTGTAAGGCAACCACATTTGTGGTGGTCGATACTGGCTGAACATTTCGACTGACGCCGTCATTTGGGTGTGGGTCTTAAGCCAGCAGGAGACCACATTAGTCCATGTTTCCATTTACCAGGGCAACCCATTTTGGGTTACCCTTTTTTTTTTTATTACCCACAGCCATTTGTGTCAGGCGAAACCGCCTCATTGCTTTAGACTTTGTGTTTTCTCCAGGAGCTGGTCTGGCAGGAGTTCATTCCCCTCAGCCCCGCAGAGGTTGAGGCGCAGGTGCGCGCAAGAGCTTTTGGCCTCACATGTTTTTCCGCCGAGCTTTGGCGGAAGCCTATGGACATTTGTGGTCCTGTTGCATGGCGGCTTGGTGCTTTTTTTTACTGGTTCTCTGCTTGCTTTGCATCTATGCACAATCATTTTGTCCTCTTCACTGTGGCTCTCTCCCAGCCACCGCTTGCCGTTGGCTTTGGCCCTACAAAGAAATCTGGTTGATCGTGCGCAGTCCACCTTGACATTGTCCTCGTGGCAGACATGGAGGGATGGTTGGTCGCTCGGTTTTGAGTGGCACCTTCCTGGGCTGACCAACCAACCGAAAGACGGAACAGTGCCGCGTAGCTCTTGCCAAGTTGGATAGTTTGGCTGCAGGAGATCATTCCAGAGGCGCCAAAGACGGGCGTTGAGGCGATGTGGAAGAGCTTCGTTTTCGTTGCATCGACAGACACACACAAGATGCGTGCTCTTCGAGGGAAGATGGCAGTAGGCGATTCTGTGAGTTGGCTCCATTCAGTAAACTCCCTGCACGAAGCAGTTTGAGCGTGCTTGCTTGCTTGCTTGCTGGCTGGCTGGCTGGCTGGCTTGTTTGCTTGCTTGCTCGCTCGCTCGCTTGTTTTCTTGCAAAGAGTTTCTGTGCAATTCCCCCGGTTTGGGGAGAAGATGAGAGTTGCTGGGCAGGAGATCATGCCGCACCTTGAAAAGAGGGCGCCAGAGAACAAGGTGGAGGCGAGGATTCGTGAACTTGCTCAGCTCCAAAGAGGTTGTCAGTGCTTGGTGAGCAGGGTATTTAACAAGAGCTGCCATGAAACAGTCCACCTGTGACTCCGTGTTTTCTTTCCGGACAAATTCTTGAAGCGTGCTGACCCAACCACGTGTGGTTGGCACGCATGGGTGGGTTTGGTTTGCTTGGGGATGTGGCTGTTCTTCTCCTCGGCAGGAGATCATTCCGTTCATTCCAGAGAAAGCTCCGAAGAGAGAAGTGGAGGCAGGCTCTCGCGTTTCCAAGTTTGCAGGAGGTGTGGCACGTCACGCACGGAGCACCCCTTGAAGGTTAGACTCACGTCTCCAAGTCTATCAAACAGACAAAGATGCCACTGCGATACGACATGCGCCTCCGGGTTTGGTCGGACAACTTTTGACCACAGATAGGACACTTTGAAGCCCGCGGGGTGCACGGCGGGGCGAAATAAGGAGCTCACTTCAGGCTGAATAGCCCACTCCATGAAGGATCGCGCTGGTTCATGTCGCTTCGGAGAAAGCTGGCGGAGCCGGGGGGAGAAGTTTCAAAGAGAAGAGCTAAGTTTGGAGCACGCTTCTTTGCCCCTTGTCTCTCTCTCTCTCTCTCTGTCTTCTTCCTCATCGTCTTTCTCCTTTTTGCAACACTGCGAGTCTTGGCAAAATCTCTTGAGGGCTTTTCGTTTCCCATCTTCCGCACAAGGCGTGGAGCTTTTTGGTTTGGAGAGTCCGTGCCGTCGGCAGGAGTTCGTCCCACTCGCCGCGGAGCAGGCAGAGGGGTGGGGCGAAGGCGACCTGTCGTTTCGGTTTGGGGCAAAGCGACCTGAGCGATAGGCTTCTTTGTTGGCACATGGCCATGGGGCATAACCTATGGCTCCAATTTGGGGCGGATGAACATCCATTTGCCACCTATTTTGATGTTCACCAGGGGTACAGGGTTTTGACCCACAGCCACATGCTTCAGAAGGTGCCGTCTTGGAACACGCTCCAAGTTGGACTTTTGTTCATTCAGACAAGCATCTGTGATTCCTGGATCACAGGTTTGGAGCACTGGGACACATGAAGGGACAGCGACCATGAAATCTGACAGCTCCTAAGTGAGAGGGCAGCGGTGTAGCTCATAGGAAAAGGGTCCCACAAGTAGTGGGACTCTCAGCGTTTCTTGTACAAATTCATGTAGAAACAAGTCCCTGAAAGAACCTAACACAAGGATTCCTCTGCAAACTAAGGGATGTGTCTCCATAGCCAAATGGCAGTGGGTCAAAACCAATGGTACCATTTTGGGTAGGTGCCCCACCCATTTTAGTCTATTTCCGTGGGATTCGGATGTTTACTGGAGGTACGGGATTTTGACCCACATCCAAATGATGTTGCAATGTAAGTTTTGCCAGGGGGACTCACCTGGTTTCCGGTTTCGTCCGGAGGCTTTGAGGGCCGATGCGCCCGACGAGACTGTGCCTTGACCATCCAAAAGGGGGTACCCTCAAACGGCAAGCCGTTTCCATGGAGAGCTACGCTCTGGAGTTGCGCAAGGAGAGGGGTAGAAGATCAGGTCAGCGTCTCTTGTTGAACGAGCATGTACTAGACTGCCTCTTCAGCTGGAATGGCCATGGTAAGTGGACTGTTTGAAGCGCGCTCAGGTCAAGGACGTCTCCAGGACAGCTTCGGATGTCTACCAGGCACTGGGCAATGTCTCAAAGAATCAGAGCAGCAATGTCACCGAGGTCGCCTCTCGGCTACAGAGCGTTGAGATGATCTGCGGACAATTGCGTATGTCTGTATGCCTTTGCGGGATAAGCGGACGTTTGTGTGCGTGTGCGTGTGCATGCGCGTGGGCGGTGCGTTTGCGTGTGAGTGTGTGTGTGTGTGTAGGTGTGTGTTTGTCACAGTGCGTCTTTGTTTGGCAGCCAGCATATTGTTTCTCGCCAAGAGCAAGGAGCATGACACGGAGCAAAACCCATGCATCGCACGGTGCACGGATTTTTGGCCACCGTCCCATGCCAAATGCATCTGCCAAGGTAGGTGACGTTGGCAAGGTGGTGTCCGACTTGGTCACTCCCCACGGCTCCCAGGATTCTCAGGATACGACTGATGAAGGTGCCAACCAGACAGGAGTGGCTGCTTGCTTGCAGGGCCTCGCACGCTCCATGTTTTGATTGCTTTTTGGTTTGCGAGACTCAACTAGATAGGAAGTTGCGTATCTTGTCCAGAGCAGAAGCTAAAGGAATCGGGCGAAATGCTTCTTTGGGTGAGATTGCATCAAAGTTTTAGCTTGTTGCAACAATGCTGTTGATTTGCGAGCGGCAGGCAGCGGCACACGAAATGTTTGTTCAATTGTCTATGCTGGCCCAGGTTTTTGACGTCTCCAAGACAGCTTCAGATGTCTACCAGGCACTGGGTAATGTCTCCAAGAATCAGAGCGGCAACGTCACCGAAGTCGCCTCTCGGCTGCAGAGCGTTGAAATGATGTGCGTGCGTGCATGCGTGCGTGCGCGCGCGCGTGCGCGCGTGCGTGCGTGCCTGCGTGCGCGCGTGCGTGTGTGCGCTTTTTTTTTTTGTGTGTGTGTGTGCGTGTCTAGGTGTGTGTTGTGTCACAGTGGGTCTTTGTTTGGCAGGCAGTGAAACGGAGCAAACCCATGCATCGCACGGTGCACGGATTTTTGGCCACCGTCCCATGCCAAATGCATCTGCCAAGGTAGGTGACGTTGGCCAGGTGGTGTCCGACTTGGTCACTCCCCACGGCTCCCAGGATTCTCAGGATACGACTGATGAAGGTGCCAACCAGACAGGAGTGGCTGCTTGCTTGCAGGGCCTCGCACGCTCCATGTTTTGATTGCTTTTTGGTTTGCGAGACTCAACTAGATACGAAGTTGCGTATCTTGTCCAGAGCAGAAGCTGAAGGAATCGGGCGAGATGCTTCTTTGGGTGAGATTGCATCAAAGCTTTAGCTTGTTGCGACAATGCTGTTGATTTGCGAGCGGCAGGCAGCGGCACACGAAATGTTTGTTCAAATTTCTATGCCAGCCCAGGTTTTTGACGTCTCCAAGACAGCTTCAGATGTCTACCAGGCACTGGGCAATGTCTCCAAGAATGAGAGCAGCAACGTCACCGAAGTCGCCTCTCGGCTGCAGAGCGTTGAGCGCACGTGCATACGTGCGTAGGTGCATGCGTGCGTGCGTACGTGTCCGTGTGCGTGGGCGGTGCGTGTGCATGTGAGTGTGTGTGTGTGTGTGTGTCTAGGTGTGTGTGTTTGTCACAGTGGGTCTTTGTTTGGCAGGCAGTGAAACGGAGCAAACCCATGCATCGCACGGTGCACGGATTTTTGGCCACCGTCCCATGCCAAATGCATCTGCCAAGGTAGGTGACGTTGGCAAGGTGGTGTCCGACTTGGTCACTCCCCACGGCTCCCAGGATTCTCAGGATACGACTGATGAAGGTGCCAACCAGACAGGAGTGGCTGCTTGCTTGCAGGGCCTCGCACGCTCCATGTTTTGATTGCTTTTTGGTTTGCGAGACTCAAGTAGATACGAAGTTGCGTATCTTGTCCAGAGCAGAAGCTAAAGGAATCGGGCGAGATGCTTCTTTGGGTGAGGTTGCATCAAAGTTTTAGCTTGTTGCGACATGTTTTTGCTGATTTGCGAGCGGCAGGCAGCGGCACACGAAATGTTTGTTGAAAATTCTATGCCGGCCCAGGTTTTTGACGTCTCCAAGACAGCTTCAGATGTCTACCAGGCTCTGGGCAATGTGTCCAAGAATCAGAGCGGCAACGTCACCGAAGTCGCCTCTCAGCCAGAGCAAGATGGAATAATGCACGGACGTGCGCGCGCGCGTGTTTGCGTGTGTGTGTGTGTGTGTGTGTGTGTGTGTGTGTGTGTGTGTGTTTGTGTATACGTTATGTATATACAGTATATATACCCATATAAATACACATATATATATATACATATATATATATATATATATATAAATACATATGAACCCCCCCGCCCCGATGGATCCTGGTTTTACTGCCTTTTGGGGATGGTAAATCTAGAATCTCAAGATCTAAATTCTCAAAATGTCCAATTGTGGGTCCCCAAAGCCTGATAATTTGTAGCCCGGAGTCCTCCATAATGTCCCAATTTGATACCTTGTCCAAATAGGATTTTGCTTCAACTAGATTGATAATTTTGAATATAGTTTAGCAAGGATGTAGTTGTCAAACATGTGTTTATGCTCAATTACAGTTTAAATATGCAAATCCTTTCCAAATAGGAGCTACATGAATATGTAAATATAGTTTCGGGTGAACTCCAACTAATCTTTAACAAAAGAAGTTAAATAGGAGTTCATTCCCAAATACAATCTAAGTGTTAAACATAATCTAATACGAGCAAAATTCAATTAGCTTTTTAATAACAATTAGATAGAGACTACTTCTCAAATATAATTCACATTAAATATGGCTAAACATCTAAGGGACTAGGAAATTCGAAATACGATTTGTGTTATTTACATTCTGGCCCTTTTGTAGCATAAGAAAGGTCTGAAATGAAACTTGTTAGACAGTGTTCCAAAATGGACATTTCCAGGGAAGAGGTTCAATTTCTGCAACTGTCTCGAAACAGGGATTGTAGCTGAATCAGTTCTATTTAAAGTTCTATTTGCACAGAAAAACAAAATTCATTCTATCTGAAAGGGTGGAGGTAGTAAATGAGCAAATGTGGACAGGTAGTTCAAGAGGGGGGTGACGGTGTGTGGACATACATACATGTGTATATACACACATATATATATATATATATGTATATACATACATATACACGTTTGTCTAACTAATAATTTGAACGTTTCCACTGGATCGCTCAGCACTTGAAAGTCGCTGGAAGATTCAAGATTGAAGATTACGCAGAAAGCTTTGAGAATGGTCAATCCTGGAACCCAAACAACATTCAAGTTCTTCTAACACTTAGGGCTTGACCACTGGACTGAGGATTCATTAGGATTGCACAAACAACAACTTTCCTGAGAACCATCCATCCTGGTCAACCCCTAAAAATGTTCAAGTTGTGCTAAAAACTCGAATGTATTTTACCACTGGATTGACGATTTAAGATTGAAATATTTGACGGAAAGCTTTTTCGAGACTCTTATTGAACAACACGAAGAGGATTGGGACAACCCTCTCTTTTTGTTATTATGGGATTCAAGATTCAAGATGCCCAGAAGAAACACAAAACATTCCTGAATCTTGAATCCATCTCCAATTCTGAGATTCAAGATTCAAGATTCCCAGAATTTTTTTCCCAGAATTCTTGAAGATGGAATATTGATTCCATACTTTGTTTTTAAACACACAACAGTTCTGAGTTGCTCCAATACTCTTGGATGCATTCAAGCTCTTTCTCTTTCAGATTGCAGATGCTGATGTCATTGCTTGTATCACATATGTACGCATGCATGCATATCATTTCTGCATATGGCACCCCTAATTTTGACACAACATCCAAGAAGCAAAAACACATAGCACACTGGAAAACATAGGTCAAACGCACTAAACCAGGGTCCATAAGGGGGGGACATATATATATATATATATATACATGTGTGTTGGCAGGTCCCAGGTAGGTGTGTGTGTGTGTGCGTTGGTAGGTGTGAGCGTGTCTCTGCGCATGCCATTGCGGGTCTTCAAGGAGCAGAACGACATGGCATTTTTATTTTATTTTTATTTTAATTTTAATTGGCTCACCGTCGCATGCTGACTGCAGCTGCCAAGGTGGGTGATGTCGGCAAAGTGGTGTCCGACTTGGTGATACCCCGCTCCCAGGGTACGATCGAAGGGTCCAACCTGACAGGAGTGGCCGCTTGTTTGCAGTTCGAAGACCCTCCCCCACCAATTGGCTGCCCTTCTCTCTCCGCTCTTCTGCCCACTCTTTGCAATCTTTGCTCTGCTCTTTCCCAGCTCTTCGCTCCGCTCTTCCCTTGCCCGCTCTCCCCGCTAATCGCTCCGCTCTTTCCTCCATTCTGCTCCGCAGTAAACCGAATGCGCTCTGATTGCGCTTCGCCACGTGTTTTGCGCATTCCTTGAAATCGCTGTTCGCCCGGGGCAGCGCTTTTTTCTCAGTCGACCCGTAAAAAGTGAGCCGGCACTGCCCTTGCGTGGATGCTGGCTTTCATTTGCCTTCCCTGATCTCAAGTTTCACCAGGTAAGCTTGCATCAATGGGGAGGCTCGCTCAAGGGTCAGCGAGGGTTGCAGGAGGGTTGCAGGAGGGTTCTTTGTAGGTTATCTGACACTGACAGGACGGTAACGTGACACATGGCGATTGATTTACAAGCGGCGGGCAGCCGCTGCTGCCTCTTTTTGAAA